TATTTGCGAAAAGCCAATGATAAACCACGCATTTTCCACACCTCCCTGCCTGCTCAGCGTGGCTGTGCCCTGCCAGGGTTGGCACTCACAGCCCCTGTCACTCGTGCCCGGCAGGACCAGGGGATGGATGGCACGCGGCAGCGACTCGGGGCGCTCGCAGCAGCAGCGCTCCGGCTCCTCTGGTCAATCCTGATTCATGGGGTGGGCGGGAGCTGCCGCTGCCTCCCGGCTCCTGCAGCTCACAGGGGAGAGCCTCAGCTGAGCTTTGAATGGGTTTGGAATGGGGCTGTGGCCTCAGCATCCCTGTCCTGAAGGAAGGATGATCTATTGGAGGATGCTCCCATCTCAGAAGGCGCTCACTTCAGAGGTCACACACACACACACAAATTCTGAGGGGTTTCCCCAGTGGTTGCTAATTCAGTGGACAAGAAACCCAGTTTTCAGCTGCCTTGTGTCGCTACAGGACACGAAACAACACCACATGAACACGCTGCTGCTCTCAAGGTAGAAAAGGGAAGTTTATTTTCTGACTCCAACGTTTATAGATTTCCAAAGGTGGCAGTGGATTGGAGGGTGAAAGTGCCACTTCTCCGATGACACTGGACAAACCAACAGTCCATCAAATTTCTCTTCTTCCATAAAAGAATGCAAAACAGTAAGTTGTTTACAGAAAGTGTGTGAGAAAGTTTGCTACAAGAATGCAAACATCAGAAGGCTTAGAAAATGTTAAAAAATCAGGACGACAGCCTCCGTTTTCCAGCTGGGCTCTGCCCTCTCAAAGGCTCAGCAGAGATTTTTTTGGGTGCTGGTTACAGAAATCACAGATGGACAATTGCTCCTACATGTAAAACAAATGTATCACTACAAATAGGTGAGAAATTCCTCTGGTCATGATTTGTATGATTTCTATGAAACCAATTCCAGAGGAATTGGTTTCAGGAAGATTGGATGGTGTCTCTGCTGGGATATGGAAATGTTGGTGAAAAGAATGGCATAGCAGAACCTGTAAGAACAGACTGTGGAGATGTCTGTGATAAAATCACAGAATAATTCTATATATCATGATAGAGATGGGAGAGTGGGGTTTGTTGTTGCATTTTGACTGTATCACCAAAACACAGGTTGCTGCATTGAAGGATGCTCATCTGAGCACTTACAGGCAGCTTTTCCAGTTTCCCCTCCATGCCTGTGCATCCATATGTGCTGCTGCAGGGCTGCTGCTCCTCTGCAGTGCGTGCTGGTTACAGCAGGCAAGGGTGAGAGCAGAGTGTGGCTGGGCTCAGATGCAGCCTCTGCTTCAGGAGACCTGTACCCTGTCATCAGGGTGATGAGAGGAACGAAGCCAGCGCCTCTCTTGGCTTTCCCTGGAGGTTTGATCCATGGCAGCAGTGCTGCTACTGCCAGCAGTGTGCTGCTCCCTGATGGAAATTGGTGGGGAAGCTCTGGAATGGTCAGCAATTACAGAGGGAGATCCCAGCAGCACGGGGATGTACCAGGGAGCTGATCAGCTGCTGGGCTGAGCTCAATCCCACCACGGAGCCAGGAGCAGAGGGCACGGTCCTTTTCCCCAGTAACCTGCACAGATCCTGCTCCTGGTGTCCAAAGGCTGCTGGGGTGTTGAAAGCTGAAGCCTTACCACCAGAAAATTACTCAAGTATATTTTAATAATGTACAGCCATAGGTCTTACGTGATTTGTTCTCTAAAGATTGATTTAGCTTCTTATTAAGGGAATTGGGAATTCAGTGTGAAAATCTGAACAAAATCTAGGCGGTTTTTAGGGTTTTTAAAATATCCACTAGTGTAACTCACCAGGGAGAAGAATTTCAAAGCCTGTCCAACCCTATCTTGAATTTTTGATTCTCCTGCTTTCTTATTTCCATTCCCAAGGTATGCTTGTTAAGAAAGAACACCTCAGCATTATTGTATTATTTTTAAATAAGCCACAATCACTTTAAGGAGCTCAGGATAAAAAAAATCCACTAATAATTTGATTTTATATTCTCCCCTCCCCCTTCCTGCAGTTTTCAGAAGTTTGGTAATGCCAAGTGTGCACTGCATACAAATGGCAGGGCGGGCAGCTGTAATTGCTCGCTCTCCCCTGCTGCCCAGAGAAGGCTTTTCCTCTTTAATTACCCCTGGAATTGTAAAGGGATGAGCAGCAGCAGAGCTGGCAGGGCCAGGCCCTCCAGCAGCAGTGTGGGGCTGCTCAGAAGGTGCCTGTAGCTGCTTCCTGGGGCAGGTGTGGGGGTCTCATAGGGATCCCCAGGGTGGCAGGACACGGTGTGTGCTCAGGACACCCACGGCCACACACACAGGGTCATCTCCAGGGACAAGGACACGCTTCCTGATGGGTGATGGGACCACAGGGCAGCACCATGGGCACCCAGCAGGTCACAGCATCCCCAGAGCCGGGTGTCCCTGGCTGCTCAGGGCTCCTCTGGGGTCAGGCTGATGCCAGCCCCTGCCGTGTTCTCTGCTGAGGTGGCCTTCCTCCTCAGACTGCTCCAAAATGCCTTTTCTCTTCTCCTGGAGATTTTGTAAACTTAAAAGAGAATCATGAAAAAAAAAAAAAAAAATGTTCTCCTCTGTCCAGCCCATTAATTCAGCCTGCTCAGGACAGAATTAACCTTGGCAAGCCTTGCAGAGGAGAGAGTCGTTCTAACCTTAAAAATCTGCTGATTAAAGCTGGTTTCTGGAATTCGATTTCACTTAATGCATTGGCTGGGTGCCCAGCCTGGCATTAACATCTCCACAGACACACAGGCCTCTGCAGCTTTTACCTACCCACTAAAAAATAATTTAAAAAAAATAAAAGAAAACACAGCTCATGAAAGCCCCTTTGCCTGTTTTGAGCAAGAATTCATTTTAAAGCCTGTTTTAGCTAAAGGTTATTACTTCTGCCCTGGTTGTGTGTCTGCTCTGGCCAGGCAGGGTGCTAATTCCACTCTCCTCATTAGTTGCAGAGGGGTGTTGAGCTGGCTGGCTGCTCAGCAGCCCTGGGCCATCCCAGGCAGGGGTCAGCAGATCCGAGTGTAGGAATATCCTACACCCACCTCCCCACAGCCCCCACTGAGCTGCAGATTTTGTGTCACCCACAGAGCTTAGCCCATTAATCTTGAAAATCCTCCAAAACAATGACACACAGATTTCCTAGGTTTCTATTTATATCCTCAACTTTTCCTTACGCATTTTTACCCAAAAATTAATGTAGTTTTTATTGCTGCCATCACTCATTTTGCCTGTGCTCTGCGTGCTGGGCTCCCAGGGTCTGTTTCACCCCTGCAGTGTTTCTGTGCTGCTGTGGTACCTCTCTGTGCCTGTGGGGACAGTCCCTGCTGTCTCTCCAAGGCCAGGAGCTTGCTCAGTGTCTCCTTCATCCCAGCTGCCCAGGTTAGGGCATCCAGCCTCAAAACATCCATCCAGAATCAGATTCTCATGTCCTGCTGCCACGGGGAAAAAAATAAAAGAAAAATTTAAGAAATCCCTTCTAAGTTCTGTGTGCTTTATGAACTCTGTGAGCTGTTAGGATTTTTTTAATGGCTTGCTGGAATGTTGAGAACCAGTTTCATGAAGGTGGGAGGCTTTTGTGTGATTCATTATTGACAGCTCTAGAATTATCTGTGAGCCAGCTCTGGAGAGGGAGGGCAGTGCTCCTGCCTGCTGTGCACCACGAGCTGCACAGAGCCCAGCCTTGCCTTTTGTTTTAATCAGGGCAGAGTTTCGATCGACTCCACAGCAAATTGGGGTGGGAAGCAAGTCAGGGGGTGCTGGAATAGATTGATACATATCTCACAAGGTGGTCCTGGCTGCTGTGAAGGCTGCTCCAGCAGCTCCAGACCAGCTTTCCCATCCTCACTGGGAAGGAAGCAGGTTGGACTGGGAGATGCTGCACCTCCCCAGCTGCTCTCGGGAGTGGGGGGAGAGCTCTGAGTCAGCAGAACTGAGCACTGCAGAGCTTTCCATGCAGCCCCCAGTGCCATGTGCAGGAGTCACTGTCAGGGCAGCTGTTCCCCAGCCCTCAGGAGGGATTTAAATGTTAAGCTTTTCTTTGGATTATTTTCTGCAGGGCTTTTTTCCTCCTCTGTTTTTCCTCCCTGCATTTCAGTGTGTAGAATGTACCCTTGACACATTTTAAAAACATTATTAATCTTTGTCATTTGTGTTTTAAAAATAACTCGGTGATAGCAGCCAGTCCTTAAATCCTGTTTAATTCAGGCTGACCTTGTGAGCAGTGATCCTGGGGAGGGGGAGCTGCTGCAGCCTCCCATGTGCTCACTGAGTGCACATGTCCAGCAGCACAAGCACCCCTCTGTGCTCGGGGTCTTTGCAATTAAAACCAGTTCTGTGGGTTTGGCTTGGCACTGCGTTTGGTTTCCAACCAAAAAGTTCTAACATACTGGAAATTGAGGGGTTTTTTTCCTGCAGAAAGAATTCCTCGGCTTTGCTGATTTCAGTTAATCAGAGAAGCAGAATTCATTAAAAAAACCACAAAAACCACCAAAAAAAGAAAAAAAAAAAAAAAAAGAAACAAACTATATTTTGGCATTTTGCTGTCTAAAATATCTGACAGCATTTCTTTCAGTTTACAAACACAACATTTTCAGTTGAAATACCCAGGAGATAAACCATGGAAAAAAAGATGAACGTGTTGTATTTGCCAAAAAATAAAATTACGATGGAGCAAAGATTCAAAGAGAGCCCCCAGACCAGCCCTGTCTGAGTCATGAGCCCCTGCTGGCTCTGGCCACTCCAGGGTGGGCACCCTTGGGCAGGGGTAGCACAGCAGGGACTGTTAGGGACGGGCTTCTGTGACCTGTAGCAAAGCTTCCAGTGCTTAAACCAGGGTGCCACAGTGCTGTCTGTGCATCACCAGCCCCAGACCAAGGGCAGAACAGTGTCCTCCATTTGTGGGTCACGCTGCTGCCCTGTCCCCAGCACGGCCTCTCGGGATGGTTCCTCCACTAACCTGACTCTGCTTTCTCTCTTTTTGTGTCCCCAGTGCCTGTATGGCTGCTATGTCCATTCCTCCATCATCCCCACGTTTCACAGAAGGTGCTACTGGCTTCTGCAGGTAGGATGAAAATGAGTTCTCTCTCTGGGGTCACCTGGTCAAGCTGCTGCTGGGGGGGTCAGCATCCTGTGCTTTACTATGGGGGATTTTGTTTGTCTGAAAGAGAAATGGGTCTTCTTGGTTGTATGTCTCTGTTTGGAGGGGTTATATATTTTCTCTAGCAATATGGAGCTGATGCCAGCTCATATGTTCTCTAAACATGGAGTTGGCTCAAGTGAGACTTTCTGGAGGTTTCATGTTGTGTTGTTCCATCCTGAAGCAAGGCAGAGCCAGAGAAGTGAATGCTGCTTGGGCATACCATGGTGTAGGACAGAAATTGGCCCTGGGCTGTGCTTGACTTTGAGGAGAGCCCTGGGGCTGTGTTTGAGTTTGGGGTGAACCTTGGAGCTGGCCCTGCAGTGGATCTGCTTTCCTCCAGTGAGATATTTGTCTCCAGGGAGTATTTGAAGTCACTCAATGATTTTTCTTCTGGCTGTTGTGGGAACAGCAAAGTCCCAGGAGGAGTCAAGCCAAATTTTCCTCTTATTTACACAGGGTTTGGGCAGCTCCCCTGGGGCTGTGGGAGTGTGCAAAGGATCTCATGTGGGAATTTGCCCAGGGGGTGTTTGCTGACCCCACCTTTGAGGAGCTGTTCACATTCTTGACTGGTTACTATGGTGTACACAGTGAAAGTAATTTGTTTTCTTTCATTATGAAATTGCACTTGACACATACTGTAAAAATATTGTTTTAAAGATTAAACTCCCATGGTCCTGAAAACAAACAAATCTGAGGAAAGTGACATCTGTTTCTAGAAGCAAATGGAAAATAATTCCTGTTTCTCCCTGGTTTTGCAATTGCAATTCCATATTAAAAAAGAAGGCGCTGCTGCTGTCACTGGGGCAGGACAGACCCCTCCCAACCCACAGAGGATGGTGCCCACACCGTGGACATAATCAAAGGAAACACGCACCAGATGTCACCCTCCTCTGTGGTATCTGTGTGTTCTCAGCTCCGTTTGCATCTGTGGCATAAAAATGCTGTGTGCAAGGAAAGAGGAGATGCTTGGCTGCAGTGGTGGGAGCAGCTCTGCACCTCGCAGAGGAGAATTGTGGCTCCTCTGAAAACACAGCGTGACTGCATCGATCCTGTTCTCTCACGGCTGCCCAGGCTGTGCTTGTTCTCCTCGAGAGCTCCTGGCCCCAGAGGTCAGCTCTCTTCTCTTCGTTTTTCAGCTTTGTATTGCTTTTTCTCGTTGTGATGTGCTCCCTAGAAGTGCTGCTGGCCCTGGCTGCTGTGGCACTTAGCCAGCATCTCCCTGATGGGTTGCACTGCAGCGCTGGAGGATCTCTGAGCTGTTCCCCAGGGTCTGCCTCTTCACGTTCACAGGGTGTGCATCAATGTTTAGTCATTTTCTTTGCTCTGGTAATCACTTTTTGTCAAGAGGATGAGAAGTACATTTCTTAGAAGCCTATTTATAAAATGTGCTGCAGGACATCTCACTGTGGCTGTGGTAGACTGGTATTCCTCAACAAGGACATGCTGTGCCTTCGCTGTGGGAGGAAGAGGGGTCTGTGATTCATGGCAGCATCTCCAGGCACAAACGGGCATCCTTCAGTCATGCGCTCAAGGTTATGCAGGCAGCAGAAAGGAGCTGGCCAAGAATAGATGACACTTCCCTATCTCTGCACAGTGCTTGTGTTCAGCTCCACGGTGAATTCAGGAGCAGTGACACCAGAGAGACAGAAGGTGTTTTGTGCATCTCCTTCAGAAGCTTTCGCTTCAACAGCACTGGTAAATGAGTTTGGTATTCAAAAATAGGTATAGCCAGGGCAATGTGTAATATGTTCAGCTTTATAGTTCACTGAGGCACATGGGTGACTTTCCCTTTTTTTGGGGAGACGTTCAGCACCTTCCTCTCTGTGCTCTCTGTGCAGTGTTTGGTCAATGGGGAATAAATACAATTAGTCTGCGATGTTGTCTATGTTTTATGGGATGATCTTCCTCCCAGTCCTATTGTCAGGTTAGATATCGATTAAAAATCCACACACAAATGTTCTTGATCTTTTCTGCCTCACATTTTCAGTGTAAAGGCCAGGACTCAAACCAGCCACAGGGACTCAGAGCCTTTCTCATGCATTTACATGGCGCCGTAACCATTAATTATGTGGTGATGTCCAATTTCTTACTTAAACAACTTTGTGTTGTCATTTATGATTGACATGATGTGCCTGCTCCCTGCAGACTGGTCAGAGGGATGAGAAATGAGAACCAATCATCTGGAACTGCATGATTCAGTTTTCTGGGTCTCTGCTGGAAGTTCTTAGGCTGTTGGCAGACACCGTGGTGCTGGCAGCTGTGGCTGGGGTCTGCTGCATGGGGCCTCCACCTCCTCTCTCTTCTGAAGGAGTTTCACGTTTCTGTGACATTTCAAGCTTTCTTGACAATGGATTTTAAGTGCTGCCTTACCCCAAAGACGTTAATATTTGTAACAGGTGCTGTAATTTCCAAGCCAGCATTGACACGTTCCTGCTGGACACGGTCCCGACCTGGGCACTGGCAGCCTCTTGCATGGATGCTCTCTTGGCCACTCACTCTTGGGCCTGAATGAAGAAAGCATGCCCAAGGTGGTGGTTTCCCACATTTAGTTCTCATATTTTTCTTTTGATTATCTGATGTCTAGAAATATGAGATCATGGTGAGTGACACAGGCAGAGAAGATGGGGGTGAGGACACGAGTGGCCTCTTCACAGGTGGCTGAGGAAGGCACCTCAGTAGAACTTCAGTTTTTTATTGTTTTACTTTATCTGTTTGCTTCTGAGAAGGTGCAGAGCCCTGGCTGTCCACAGTTCACTGAATGTGGAGCAGAGCTGCTGAAACCTTTTCTGAGATGGGGTGGTGGCAGGTCCCAGCCTCCTGCAGAGGCTGTGGCACAGCTGTGACTCTGAGTGCGCTGGTTTGTCACCAGCAGGACTCAGGCTGCCCCTGTCAGACCTTCAGCCTACTACCAGATTTTGTGTCAATGGAAACAGAAGAGGAAAACCCCCTGTTTGTAGTTGTACTGACTAATGGAGGGAAAATGTGGGTTCTCAGACATGGATGATTTTCAAACATTGGCACAGCTGAGCAGGGAGATGCAGCATTCCCTTCTGTGTGCTGGAAATTGGCACCCCAGGAGCTGAAAATTAATCTGGCTGCCAGACTTCTGGGCAGGCTGCTGCTTGCCAGGGTTCCAGGGTTCACCCATGGACTGTGATGGGCCCCTTGCTCACTCCCACTCCTGTGCTGCACAGCTGCAGGTGCTGAGCTCATTGGATGCTCATCGTGTTCCACCTGTAGCAGATACTGATGTCTCCTTCAGTGCTGCTGTTCAGGTGCTATGGGCATGGGAGGGAATACATATTTTAAAAGTGTTGTCCTTTTTCTTTATTAAAAAGTACACAAACTGTGCTATAGGATCATGCTAAAAACTTGTAAATTTAGACCTCCTGGCCAGTCAAACAAATGAAGATAACAAGCCTTGGAGAGAGGTGGCAGAGAGCTGTTTCACATTGCACATGCATTAAGTGCTCACTGAATAATTCAGAATTGGTGCAGAAGAGTGTCAGTGGCACTGTTGTGGCAGGTGAGCCAAGGAAGCAGAGTGGGATGCAGGCACAAGGACACACCAGAGCTCCACAGAGCCCTGCTGTAAATCCAGTGTTTGCCAGTAATTGCTGAAATGTGATAATCCAGTTCTCTGGGAGCCTGGGGGAAAACTGCATTTCATCTTTATTGCTCACACACTCACAGGATGCTCCCAGCAGCCATTGAAGTCATGGAATACTTTTCTGTAGGGTAGGAAATGGCAGGAGAAAGTCAGGGACATCAGCAGTCCTGCCAGGTGTAATATCCAGGCAGGATGTCTGCCACAGAAGGAGCAAGTGGGAGATGCTGGGGGGGCACTGGTGGTGGGCATTAATTGGGTAGTGGTCTTTAATTACTGTTCTTGTGATTCTGTGTGCACCAGCTGTGCCTTGCAGAGTATGTGTAAGCATTGATTGAATGTCAGAGGCTTTTGCAATATTCTCTCTTTACTCTGTTTTTTCCTGAATTCTTCCTTCTGATACACTTGAATATTCAGCAGTTTGTTACTATGAGTGTCTGCACTGATGCTTGATGCCCCCTGAGTGTGTTCCCTTCCCAAAATACATCTTGTCTGAAAGCTGTGGGCAGAAAATATCAAGACCTAAAACTCATTTAAAATGTTCTACATGACATCTGTCACTGTCCTGCATAAATTTAGTGTTTGTTCTATATTTTTTTGCTATGGTTTTCCATTATGCCCTAAACAAGAGGAAGCCCTTCCCATTTATTTTTGATAGCACCCCGTCAGAGCAGCATTTCCCTCTCTGATCACTTGTGCTGTGCTGTGTCAGCAGCATCTCCTGCCTCCCTGGCTGGAGCAGCGACAGACAGCTTGAGGATTTGGGGCTTTTTCAACATAAATTGGAAGCATTACAATCTCATAAAATTTCTCAAGACTTTTGCTTAGTAATGGGTTTTTATTTTTCATTTGGGTGAAATAAAAGTGGCTGGGCAATAAAGCACAGAAAATGCTGTGCTGCACATGGGCACTTAGCTGGGTCCTGTGTGTTGGGGTGGGGTGTGAGCGAGGCCTCGGCACAAGGAGCCTGGGCATTTTTGCTAATGGGATTATAAACTGTTGCTGCTGTGCTGGCACGTGTTCCCAAAATGTGTTCTAGCCTGTGTGATGAAATTAAGTGGTATAGCAGTACAGCAGAGCATGGTCTGTGGTACTGAACCACCTGCAGTGTGGCTGCACATCCCAGCCATGGTTGGGATACTGGTGCATGTTCACAGAGCAGACTTGTGGCTCCTGTTCCCAGTGCCCTGAGTGCATGTGGAGCTGTGCTGGAGAGGAGACTGTGTCTGGGGAGACCAAACAGCAGTTCCAGGAGAGCAGAATGTCCTCTGTGAGCTGCAGCAGCAGGGGTGCTTTTGGTACCAGACGTTGGCAG